GGTGGTGGTGGTGGTGGTGGTGGTGGTGGTGGTGGTGGTGGTGGTGGTGGTGGTGGTGGTGGTGGAGGAGAAGGTGAGTATCAAATTATCGCATAAACTCAATCTGTGTGATTGCATTCACATGACAAATAACCGCGCAGTGACTAGAAGAAGTTCGGAAGTGCTGGAAGTTGTTGCTGGTTACCAGACCAAAGCCACGGTCAAAATGGAGCGTAGTCGCGTAACTTCGCAAGTGGCTGCTGTTAGGAAGCGTGCAACACCACGACAGTGCACTGATTCAAAAAAATCTTTCGTTAATTCGTGGAAAATTAGCCATTGTACGGTCCAATTGCCCTTGCGAAAAGTGGTCACTACTACTGAATCACAAAATCCGCAGCGAGACGGCAAAACGGTCATCGCGTGAACCGGAAAATACCTAGTTACTTCAACGCAGCAAAGGCATTCTTTCTATCCAGGGTGCAGTGTTATTTTGCGAGAATAATACACCCCAGGAATTGCATTCTCACGTGTCTTTAAAAGCACATTCTGTTGACACAGTCAGCGTGTGTTTGGTGTCAAAGCCAGCGACGCCACAGCACAAATTGTGGTCAACACATCAGCTGCAACTGCTACCACAACCAGGGGAGTTAAATCAATGCAAATGCATTTTGCAAAATACATTTGATCGGCCCCAATTATTGCAACTTCGCGTAGCCAGTATTTTAACGCATTAAAAACCACAATTACCCCATAACAATAAGCCAATTTGTAACTGAAATTCGATAAAATTGAATCTTTTAGGAAATCGATATGGCCTTGGCACGGTCCCCTGAAGATGCTCTGCGGTGTGGATCAGGCGTTAGCCTGGAAGTCAAAAAGCAGCTTTACCCAGAACTTGTGGTGGCGCCACAATGAGATTACTTACGAGGTGTAACTTTGCAACATGATACCCCGCTTTCGTGTAAGACGCAGAGAAAACAGAAAAAAACCAAGAAACAGCATGCACCACGGTTTAATTTTCTGGGTTATGAATCACATGACTCGCTAAACCGTTTTAGCGGAAAAAACATGACAAGTGACAAGAGATTGCATAGCACCTGGAATCATTTGATTTCAACACACAACTGGGAAACCAGTTAAGGTGAAAACTAGATTACTTTATATTTCTCATTTCATAATTTGGCACGCAATCATCGGTGTATCGATTGCAAATCGTCTTGCAAGAGACCTCTCCTTGGTGGTTTATTAGAAGCCGATTCTCAGTGGGTACCTCCGATAAGCCTGATTTGTTAGTATTGGGGGTAGGGAAAAATAAAATTTTTCAAGGAAAAAGGAACACTCACTCCTTGAAAGCACACGTCAAATAGAGCGCATGGCGTTGAGTGCTAGAGTGGAAGGTTCGCGTGAACAGGAGCTCAGGAATGCGCGCGCGCAGCCTGCCTGAGATCCAATCAATCTGTTCGTCTGTAGTGTGGCGTACAAACGTCACGACAACATCACAATTGGAGGGTGGTTTGGAAGAAAAACTTTGCCACTTTCGACTCAATTCGAGCAACTCCCTCCCCGTGTAAGCGACACGCCTTCGAAGGTCACTCAGATGCTCTGCAGTGGACGTAATAAAATCCATCAGTGTTGTTTAGAAAGTTGCAATTAATTCTGTCAGGGCACACGCGTACGCAGGATAACCAGCAGGGAGGGCATATGGCGTATCTTAAGGCCGCTTGTCGACTGTGTAAACCTCAACAGCCAATCACAACGAACGACGGCCAGCCGACATGAACAGTGCAAATTCACATGATAAATTAAGTATTTCGATAAAAAGTGTCGGAAAATTTTGTAATCTTTTGAAGACGACAAGGATAAAGTCATAGATTACGTAAAAACTAGCTTCACCTGCGTGTTATTTTGCTAAGAAATTAGTAAAAACATGTAAGTTGTCAAGAATTTTAACTCGAATTAAGCAGAAGAGCTCCTGTGAAAAGGAGTGGATTATTAATGTAGCCATAGATCCGAAAGTGGCGAACAAGATTAGAGAATGTAGTTGGCCAGACACAAATACTTGATCAAGAAAAGATTTCGAACTGTCCAAATGTGGCAAGAAATATTCCCTATACATAACCTACTTATAAAACAGAAGTAGAAAGCATAATCAGTAACTGAGATCACAAATTGGTAAATTAAGGCATCGAATTCAATTTTTGTGTACAATAAAGCATTCTGATTCGACAATTTTTCTAAAATTGGCTGCTACTTGGATAACTATTAAAGAAATGCAATATGATATTAATTTAGAATACAGCATTGATATTACAAGTGATCCGTTGTATACCATCACCTCAAAAAGTATTTTTTTATCTACTTTAGGTAAAACAGATATATTAAAAAACCTGCATTTAAGCTTACCCACATATTTATGGACATTAGGCATCTTAGCTGGAACCAGCAGCCAATAACACACGAAGAACCCGCAGCGTCATTTGTAACTTAAAACAAACAGTAAATTCAGAAATACGAAAGTTGTTTTATTTTACGACTCAGATCCTAAATTTTTTATAGTAAAATGCAACAAGCTTTTTTTAAAAGGAAACAAATTTTTGATTTATATTAAGTGCAAAATTCAGGAAAAAGGAAAATATTCGTATCTTCAACGGATTTTTTAATTCTTAATTTAATTTTATTGTAAGGTTATTCTAAGTGTACAAAGCACTTTGCACTTTAATTTGTGAGAAAACATATTTTGTTAGGTTAAAATACTCCGTTATATTCACATGCTTTGACCATAAATTTCAAAACTAATTAATGTGAATTTTTGAAAAATTAAATGTGAATGCAGTTAAACAGGTAGCAGCCAATTCCATATATTTTTATATTTATTTAATTGTTAGCTATCGTTTTTTTCCAATAACTTTTCCTGAACTTTATAAAGCTGCACCACATTGCCTAGTTGTTAAAAATCCTGATGTATTATTTTCTAAACAATCAGTGGTAATGTTTGAGACGACAATCTTACACTGAGCTATACAGTATGGCCCTTGATTCAACTGTAATATGTAGCCCTAAACATTAAGGAAAATACTTAATTACTTAAATTCTATAATCGCTAGTTCGCCACAGAATATTCCTGAGCAAGCTTAAGCAAAAATTTATCTTCCAAGGATGGTTAAAGGTTATACCGATTCAAAAGCTTTTATACAATATTACCATCTACATGTGCATCATTTCGTTATCTTTAATTTTATTAAAAACACATCTGAATTAACAAAATTGGTTTAATTTCTAAATTAACATATGACATGGCAGCAAAACAAATTGAAGTAATAGATTGACATTTTTTATTTACCCTTTTTAGCAAGTCGGTAATTGGAATGGTGTCTGTCTGCGTGGCTTCAAATGTCCATTTAAATTCAGAATATTGAATGAAAAGAAGACTCTAGCTTACACAGCTATTTTATGCGAGGTTATTCAAATAAGATTTGGGGACTAAGCAATGGACATCATGACAAACTGATTAATTCTCCAACTCAATAGAATTTGCTAAAACCAAGCTTCCATAAAACTGATATGAAAATACTTTATCAAAATTTGTACTCCTGGCTAAATTTCTGTTAGCAAAACCGAATGCTTTTTTCATTTTGTAGTTTTCTCTTTCATATTCCTGTTTCATTGAAAGCACCATGTTTCTTCCTGATTTTTATAATTTTTTAAAGTAGTTTGATACTATTTAAAATTATTTTTTAAGACTTATTAAATCAAGGCAGTCATTTTCTGATGCTGCAATGTAAATATAGCATTTTTAAGGCAGTTGAATAAAAATGAACTCAATTTTACACATTATATGTGGTTCAAACTCGTACACCTTTATAGAACCATCAGTTATGCTTTGTTGGCTAAATCGAACCGTATGGTCGTGCAACGTTGAGTTGAATGATCAGCTAATCCGAAGATTAATTTTTGACCGGCCAAATCCGATACACTAACAAAGCTGATCGTGCACTGTCACCTTCTGTTTCTAATCGGCGGAGATTCTGTTGACTACTGACATATTTAATGATCCATCTGTTAAAATTTTCTGCAACTGCGACCGATAATTGAGTGTTACATTTGCCTTAGGATCTCCTTACATATCTTGTGAATCACGTTGACTCGCATTCTTTAAACTGGTCACTCCAGCCTCCCTTACAGTGCGTGCGTGCATGCGTGCGTGGCACCATCATTATAATCATTACGACGTACGAAGCATTTCGCGTTTGTAGTGCCAGTTCTTCTCGCAGCGGGCAAAGTCGCCACCATATTCCCCCTCCACGACCGCAACGCCCTC